CCTCTTGGGGGTCTCCAATGGCCTTCTTGGGGGTCCCCCATGGCTTTCGTGGGTCTCTCTTGGAAGCCTTCTAGGGGCATCTTGGGCTTCTTGTGAGCAGTCTCGGGGCTCTCTGGGACAGTCTTGGGGCCCTCTTGGGCCGTCTTCAAACCTTCTGGAGAGCCTCTTGGGCCGTCTTGGGGCGATATCGGGGGTCCATCAGGCCGTCTTGGACGCTGCGAAGGGTCAAAAAGCGGATATGCTAAACATGTACATTTTCCTCCGGGAATGGGATGTGTTTGCTTCTTCGGGGGGGGGGCTCTCTTAACGGCCTCTTGGGGCGTCTTGGGGGCCTCTGGGGCCGTCTTCAGACGGTCGAGGTTCCTCTTGGAGCGCTCTTGTGCTGTCTTGGGTCTCGCTTGCGCCTCTCCGATGACCCCTCTGATCGCCTTGAGTCTGCTCGCAAGGCCCGGCAAAGCGCCCTGGGAGGCCTGGAAGGGCCAGCGGATCTTTTCCAAGGGCGTCCGGGAGGCCACCGAGACGTCTGAAAGAGCGTCTGGGGTGTCCCTGGGGGGGGGGTTATTAGGGGGGGGGTCCGGGTAGTAAAAATAGAAGAATTGGAATATGTGGGTGTCTGTGTATACACACATATTCTATGTATAAAATGAAAATTCACATCTAACTGCGTACCACCTCGCAGATGTGGATAAGAGTGAGGGGTCGGTAGGGACGTCAGCAGTTTGCGAGACTATTGAGAAGCCCGCCGCAGGCTACAAAGCTTCACAAATTATACAACGATTATACAACGAGCCCGCCGCAGGCGCCGATTTTTCCACTAAACCAATGTGGGTAGGTCGCCTTTTTCACTAAACCAATGTGGGTAGGTCGCCGGTGCGTCGCGGGTGGGTCACAAGTGGGTCGCGGGTGGGTCGCGGGTGGGTCGATGTTGGGTCGCGGGTGGGTCGCAGGTGGGTCGCAGGTGCGTCGCAAGCGGGTGGACACGTGAAACTACGCGACCCGCGCGCACGCGCCAGGCGCATGTTGGTTCCAACCACCCAGCATACGCTTTTTTTATGTAAAAAATCCGCCGACTAGACGTTGGGTCCCCCCCTGGGGCCTTCTGGTACAGGGCCGAAGGACCGCTAACACAGAAAAAAAACCTGGGCCGGAGCCCTTACGCCCCACGCGCACGCGCCAGGTGCATGTTGGGTCCTCCCCTGTAGGACCCGCCGATTGTGCAGTTACAAGCAGCTGCTTTCGTTGTTTAAATTACGTGTACAACTTGCTGTACGTTCAAATCATATCGATATTAAAAAGCTGAATCTACTTACGCGCTGATCCATGTAAAGGTAAAGTGCACAATGCTTCCAATTCCATGTAAACGCACGTGTCCAAAATGTACACGGCACCACCACTGAGATCCTCCACAATGTAAACCAACTTGAAAAGTATCACTCAAATTTGGGATTTCACTCACCACATATGAAACCACTTTGTAGTTCATGAACAGACGCAGTGTGTGTAAGGAATTTCCGGAGGCAGCGCCGTGGGGTCGCGGAAGCTAACAAAGAAAACATGCACCGAAAGACATGCGAAACAAAACACACGTGCTTGCACATGGAAACATACAAAAACAGCTAAGAAACCATGTGGCTGTCGATATTCCCGTGATGCGGACCCGCACACTGGAATTACTGTGCAGTAGCCCTTGCATAAGGATTCGCTGTGTGGCGTCCTTCAACATGGAGTTTCATTGTGGGGCATCTGCAACAACCGCCAGACATGAAACCGTCTGCAGCAGACTCTGCAAAGATACTCATTGTGGCGATATTACACAAAAACTAATAGCGGGCGATCTGCAAAACAAAAAGCAGTTTCAAGCGTTTCCAGCTTTTCAAATTGTTCAAACGAAAACGCAAGCTTTCTCAAGTGTTCCATGTTCTTTCTGGTTTCCTGGAAAGCCTCCGCGGCCCCACGGCGATCTCAGTGGCGGCCCCGTGATGCCGCAGAAGCTTGACAGGAAAGCAAGACAAGACATGGAAACCTGGAGAAAACGTGTGTTCCCACATGGAAAACTTGAAAATCAGATGCCTGCTGCTATTTTTGGTGGTTGCAGATCCCCCACGTACGGAATGCTTGTCTGATAGCCCTTGCAAAGGAATTCCTGGCGGCCTTCCAAAAGGAGTTCAATTTTGGGGCGTAGGCAGGGCCCGCCACAAGTGAAACCCTGCTGCAGCAGCCTTTGCAAAAGGATTCTGGTGTGGAGACATCACAAAAGGATCCCACTTGCGGGGGACCTGCAACCGAAAAATTGAGACGGTCACTGGTGTTCCTAGCTCATTTTTCGTATGCATTCAAATGCAAACAGGGGCGTGTTGCGCGTTTTCGTGTGTTTGTGTTTTTCTGGTGAACGCCCGGAGCAGACACTAAGATCACCGTGGGGGCGCGGAAGCTGACCACTGAAAAACAAAACAAACAGCTAAAACCTATGCGTTTCCACGTGTACAACACATGAGCATCGGTGACTGTCGCTATTTATATGGGTGCAGATCCCCCACAGCTCAAAGCCTTGCGTCATAGCCCTTACGGAACGATTCCTTCTGTGGCGACCTTCCTAAACGCCTTAAAAGCGTGGGGCACGTGCAGTGGCCGCCACACTTAAAATCCTGGTGCGACAGCCTGTGCACACGAAGATCCTTGTGTGGCGATCCAACAAAAAATCAAGTATGGACGCCTGCAACC